TGGAAACAAATATGCCAGTATGTAAACAGGATTAAACTTGGGGAAGCTGCGAACATAGACTTTTATTTTATGTGTTTTCTTGAAATGTCAAAAATTAAAATATTGAACTTAATAGTTGATGTCTGGGAGGGTATCTTCTTTAGCTAGAAGATACTTATTAAAGATTGACATGTGTTCTCTTAAAAAAAAAGAGCAATGCAGTTTATGCTTTAAATCTCCACTTATTAGGAATTCAGTAAGCAAGAAAGGTCTTTATATAACTGAATTTTTTATCAGAAAAACATGTTTGCTAAAGCTCATGAACTTCATAAAGAATTCCAGACCCTCCATCAGAATATATCGACTTCATATGTTTTAACAGGTTTTATGATCTATCCAAACCCCCTGACAATTAGAAGCTAGAAATTCAAGAGGGGAAATAGAGACCAAAGAGTCCCAGGAAGCTGATACAGTGATTGCAGGAACAGAAGGAAGAAAGGGCTGACTGCCTGTCTGAGGGTGGAAATAAGCACATTTTAAATGAGAGGAAAAACCAAAGCAGAACCAGAGAAACATTGTGGTTTGAGAGGGCTTAGTGTGGGAGCAAGTTTTTCTGCTCACCTCTGTAGTTATTAGGCACCAAAAACTGTACAGAACACAGAATTCTATAATCATAATGAGGATTCTGAGCCATTTAAAACATTATATTTTATATATTAAGAATTAAGAGGTATTCAAAGTACAGTTTTGTGTGATCATCAAAATAGTTAAACTGAGTTCTGTAACTTAAAAGAATGATTCTTTATTTGGACAAGTAAGTTAAGAAAATATCCCCATTCCTAATTATGCCAGGAAAATGAAGCATTTCTCTCATTGTACATTTTGTTTCATGAAAACACTCAGTTAGCATACAGGCACATAGCATAAATCTGTCTGTTTTCTTTCTATCTAAGGAATGGGTGGCAGTCTTCAAATAAGCAGTTATCCTTCTTTTTAAGTTCCTTGAGACAGCAAGTACATAGAATATACCCCCTTAACTTTGGTAATTTAACAGCCTAATATTCTCCAGAGGGGAAAATAGTTACATTTATTACCTAAGTTTTGTGGAGCTATAAATATTAGTGTAGAAAACCTAATTGGCTGTTAAAACTTGAAGAAGTGAGTGCACAGATGCTCTATTTTTTTTTCTTCAACTTGTTCCACCTATATATCTCACCATATGCTGTTTACGAAAATGACCTGTCCTAGGCTTATAAGAACCTTTCTGGAGTTCTCAAATCCAGTAGTGGTGAATGACAGCATCTTCCTGCTGTCCACTGAATTACTGCTTTGATGTACAATGTTTTCTAGCCATATTTGAATGTATATTTAAAATTTAACAGAGTTTGAGAGTTGGCAAATAGTTCTAGCATTTTTCCATTGGCGTCAACAGAGAGAAATATTGTCCTCAGTGAGCATTGTATAGTAAAGCACTTTTGTTAAAGCTTTTCTAAGTTCCAGAACATACTTTGCTTTACAAATTCCCTATAATGTGTGTTTGAAAGAGTACTTAATGACTGCAGAGTATTGAAAGTGAAAAATAAGTGTCTCAATTTGTGAACCAAGGACTCAAACTTGGAAATAAGTTTTGACATGTATATGATGAGGAATCAGGACTTTTGGATTCTGACACTAGATCTCTTAGTGATTGATGTCCTTGGAAATATTATCCCACTATTCTGTGCTAGAGTAAATTATCTCAGCAGTCCTTTCTGGGCTCTAAAACCTTATAATTTATTCAGGTGCTATTAGTGGAATCTAATATAGTCATACTACATTTTACAACAATAACATAGCAGCAATATGGAGAATATATCTGTAGAAGGGAGAGGTGAATTTGGCCATTAAGAGGCAGTCTGGTAGTTTATGTGAGACATGGTGAAGAACTAACTTTGGGATAGAGGATGGAGAGGAGGTGATCAAGTCCAGAGGTATTTTGGAGCTAGAATTTGGCAGAATGTGATAAACCACTGGATGCTGTGGTAAGGAAGAAAGTGGAATTTAGCTTAACTGAGGTGGGGGCTATGTAAATAGTAACTCCATTATAATATGAGAAGGTAGACTAAAATGAATATATTTTTGCACAATATCTTTGGGATGGATGTCCATGAGACATTGGCTGGAGCTAGTTAAAAGATGGGAGATTAATATTAAGAGAGAGAATGAGGGTAGACAGATTTTGATGGAAGATTCACTTTTAGGCTAATTAGAAGAAACCAATGAAGAAGGGGCTATTTAAGACCCAGGAAAAAGAAGTGTGAGAGTCGGAGGGCTGGGGAGACTAAAGAGTAAAGTTCAGAAGGAAAAAAGCAGGAACAAACTAAGATCTTATCTGAAGCCTTTGACCTTTGAAGGAGGGAAACATCTTTCTCTGAGGTAAGAGAGAAGAGTAAGTCTGGATTTACATCAGTTCAGATGTGGGAGTTTGAAAATATATAGAGATAATTCTATAAAACCTGTCCACTCATTATCTAGAAGCTTCTGTTTGCTTAATTGTACAGTGTCTGAAGGTTATACTTGGAATCACTATTCTTTGCTATTTCCCTGTGTCTTCTCCTGCAGATTCTCCATGGGCCTAGTGTGTTTTATTGTAGTATTCAGGGTAGGGCCAAGTGGGAGCTCAGTTGAGGAAATCGTTGGTAATTCCATCAAACCCTCGTAAGTTGTGTTTTTCCTACAAGGAGAGAATTGAAGTCAAAATGCTCAGGCAAATCAGAAACATAATTGTAGTTTCTGAATAAATAGGTTAGTATCAAAAGATCACCTTAGACAGTTCCAGTTCCTTATAATAAAATCAACTTACTTAGAGATCTGGGGTGTGTGTGTGTGTGTGTATGATGGTTTCATCCCATCTACTAGCTTGTAACTGCTACTAGTAAATAGTTAGGCATTCTTTTTTTTGTATAAGAGATGGCCGCATTCTTTTCTTTGTATGAGAGATGTCCACTTTTACCATGTTTTTTTTTTAAATCTTCTAAGTGGTTTCAAAGGGCTTTCAATGTAAAAATAAGATTTCAAGATCAATCAGTCTTTGTCAGCAAATGATGTATTTCCAGGCACTTTTCCCTTTACTTACCAACATTTATAATAAAACAGTTCATTCTCTAGTTTACTAAAGCCATACTATGGAGAGAAAGAAGGGACCATCTTTTGAAGGGTACCATAGCCAAATTTTTTTAAAAAAATAACAGATATTGAGTCTGTTGCTTTATTTTTTATTTGAGGACTGTTATTATGGTCCTGGTTTTTACCTGTCTTGAAGTAAAACAATCTTGCAGGAATCAAGGTAAACATGTCTCTCCACATAAACAAGATTGATGTGAGCTTTTGAAGTTTTTTGAGAATATTTTTTTGAGTTAATTGAATGTACTGTGCCCAAATTGGTTTTCACAACTCTCTAGTACAGTCTGTGTTCTGTTAATAACATTTATAAAACTAGCATCTCACATAGAAAAGGTGTAATATAGGTAAATAACTAGACCAACAGACAGACAGATAGCTATAGATAGATTTTATAAAAAGAAATTGGAAAGCTATCCATAAATAATAATTAAAACATTAAAAATCATGTAGCTTGTTTTTCTCACCATTTCTACTTTTGTGAATATTATTGGGGAAAAATAATGATATTTAATTTGGTCTATCTTCATGTAGTTTCCAGGATTTTTTTTAACTAATATGAAGAATACAGATTAAGTTTTCTAATTATCTGTCAACTTAGATGATGAACTATTAGCAATTTTGAACTCCCTACTTAAAAGAAAAAAACAAATTTAATGAAAGAAAGTATTTTAATGCAAATCACAGACTTCTAATTAACTTACTTTTCCTATTACTACAAGCCTTTTTAACATTGACACTATGTTTGTATTCAGAGGCTAGATCTCAGAACAGTTAGAGATCTTTGTTCATTTATATTACCATGCAAATGTATATTTTTCTTTTTTATTCTGTAAGTATTTTAATCTGAAATCTTTTCATTTGTCTAACTGGCATTTCCTCCAAGGCAACTTTGAAATAACCTGACCTAGAAGTTTCTATAAATATGCCTTTCTTTGAAAATATGAGGGGAACGAGATAGGTCACAGAGAATAAAAACCCAGTATCTATACAGTGTCACTGGGCTGTGGCCCCTTTGAAACCCAGAAGCTTGCCTAGTGAGAAGGAGGGATGCAGAACAAATAATTATCAACCCTCTAAGGCAAATCACCTGTAGCTAAGTCAGAGGAGCCTTCTTTACATGTCCTCTGTCCTAAAACCAAATTCCCTCCCCAAATATAAGCAAAACTATGTAGGAGTCTTGTTTATAGTAGAACTTTGATTGATAATTACTTTTTGATTTCTCTTTTTCAGACATTGAAATTTTCTTTTTAGCATTGGCTTAAGCTTTCAAGATAAATGTTATTTACTGTCCTATGTGTTCATATTAGGGTTTGCAGTTTCATTTTTATTGTTTGCTATATTTTTCTAGTGTCAAATATAATTCCATATAGTTGATGTAAAATAAATATTGGATTATAACATAGTCTATGATAAAAATCCATGCCTAGAAATATGGTAAAAACTATACTGTTTTTGGTACCTTATCATTGTAAGATGCAGTAAACATTGTGGCTGAGAGCATGATATATAAATTCAGATCCACATATGTGTCCCATATCAGCTACTTTCTAGCTATGTGATTTTCTGTAATTTATCTTTGCCAGGCCTCATGTTTTTCATCTCTAAAATTGACATAATATTATTCATAAGATGTTTGAATGGATTAAATAAGACAATCACAGAGTACTTCAACAAAGCAAGTGCTTAATAAATCTTACCTTTTTCTTTAAATGTCAGCTATTATGGCAAATATCCTCAGGGTGTAAAATCACAGTTGGTTATTGGCCACCTTGATGATTCCAGCTCAGTTTTTTAGCTATGGGAGTGGAAGTATGTACATCTCCCATGAAGGACACAGAAGGCAGCCAAAGACAGAGGAAGCAGGGCTAGGCTAATCTTTCAAAAGACCAAATCTCAGGTATATTGGCTCTTTTGAACCCTTGAAGACATCTTGTCTTTAAGCAGTTGATTGGTCTTCCAAAGGGAAGAGCAAAACTAATGAGAAAGAGGTGTCTGGAAACAAGTATGCAGTGCTAGATACAAAAAAGTTGTGATAGTGGGACCTAGGAAAGATGAATTTTTATGCTAGGAAGTATGTGCTTATAATTACCAAGTTTGAGTATCTATTTATGATTTTTCCTTGTTGATGGAACTCAGGGGGTGGAAGCATCTACATTTTATACTTTTACTGCATTAATATGACAAAAAAAGACTGGAAATTTGAAACCCTGAAATTTTAATAAATTTGCTTATTATAAATGTATAGCCTATTGTGTGACCTTGGATGTACCAACTTTGTGCCTTAATGTCTCTGGCTAAATAAGGCAATTGAAAGAATAAATTATATCTTAGGTAAAAAGCTCTAAAAATGTATGGTTCTCTGTATTTTTATTTAGAACAGGGTACAATATTCTTTTCAATTCTTTCCTTCACACAAATTTATTCTCTTCAGTTTATACATAGACTTTTCATTGCAAATCTCTGTTCATGCTGCATTACCTTCAAGAATAGAAACGAGACATAACAGTTGTTGACACAGCAAAAGTTCATGCTTTTCTCTCATAATAATAGGTAACATTGTTAGCTATTTATATATATGCTAATTATTTTTCTGAGTATATTATAAGCTTTATCATATGTAAACTGAAAACAACTATTGGTCTTGTTACTATATAAATGACGACTTTTTTTTGAAAATATATACAAATGACCAATTAGCCCATGAAAATGTGCTCAGCATTACTAATCATTAGGGAAAAAATAAATTAAAACTATTGTAAAATACTACTTTATACCCATTAGAGTGGCTATTATAAAAAACAAGCATTGCCAAGGATATGGAGGATTTGGAGCCCTTGTCTATTGCTGGGGGGGGATGGAAAGTAGTGTAGCCACTTTGCAAAAAATTCGGCAGTTCCTCAAAAAGTTAAACACAGAATTGCAATATTTAACTTTTCAGTGTATACTCAAAAGAATTGAAATCAGGGACTCAGATACTTATGTACCAAGGTTCATAGCATTATTTACAATAGCCAAAAAGTGGAAACAGGCTAGATGCTCATCAACAGATAAACAGATGAATAAAATATATACACACAGTGGAATATTATTCAGCCTTAAAAAGAATGAAGTTTTGATACATGCCACAACATGGATGAACCTTGAAAATATGCTAAATGAAGTAAGCCAGACATAAAAGAATGAATATTGTAGAGTTCCACTTATATGAAGTATCTAAAATAGGCAGATTCATAGAAACAGGGGCTGAGGGGGAGGAGGAAATGGGGAGTTTCTTTTTTTTTTTTTTAAGATTTATTTATTTATTTATTTATTTATTTATTTATTTGACAGAGACAGAGACAGCGAGAGCAGGAACACAAGCAGTGGGAGGGGGAGAGGGAGAAGCAGGCTTCCTGCTGAGCAGGGAGCCCAATGCGAGACTCGATCCCAGGACTCTGGGATCATGACCTGAGCCGAAGGCAGCCGCTTAACGATTGAGCCACCCAGGTGCCCAAATGGGGAGTTTCTGTTTAATCAGTGTGGAGTTCTGTTTGGGGTGATAAAAATTTTTGTAGATAGATAGTGGTGATGTTGCACATTGGGTGAATTGTGTTTCATTACACTAGGTTGCACAGTTGAAAATGAGTAAAAGGATAAATTTTATGTTATGTGTACTTTGCCACAATAAAAAAATCACTTTACCACAGAAAAACTATTAGAGATATCTAAACACACCATATGGATATTTTCTATTTATAAATCTGTGGTTTAAATATCAAGTTATTGTTAATCACTTCTACTTCTAAATTGGTAAACTTGATACCCAATACAACGATGACTAGTTATGTGGTTGCTGTATAATTAATCAAAGTGGACTCACTGTATTGAAATAACAATAGTTATATCTAATGTTCATTGGGAACCTATTGTGTACTTGACACTATTTGTGATCTTCGACTATATTAATTCCTTTAATGCTTACCTCAACTAGGTACTATTTTTTGTTATTTTATCCATGAGGACACTGAAGTTCAGAGAGATCTCCTAACCACACAGGCAGTTGCTAAGTAGTGGACTCATAGTTCTAACACAAGATGGCAAACTTCTAACCTTGTCATTTTAACCAATTTCAGATTCTATCCATATTTGTTACAATGTTCATTTTTTAGCTCTGATCTGCTTTTTATTGTTGATCGATCTTAATGCCAGTGATTCTAATAATTCATTCATTCAACAAGACATTTATATCCTGCCTTTTATTTGCATTTACTCTTCTAAGCTCTGGAAATATAGTGATGGACAAGACAAAACTTACATTGTAGTAGTTGGGGGAGGAGGAAATAGATAAAAAATAAATAAAGTAAATTCAGCAAGATGATTTTAGATCATTTGTAGTGCTATGAGGAAAACAGGATGCTTTATGGTGAGTCAAGATGAGGGGCTGAAGGCTGATTTAAAGGGGATGATTAGGGAGGGGTTGCTATGAGGTATCAGGAACAGAAGCCTAAATATTGAAAAGATCTGGAAGTAGAGATTCCACACACAATGAGCAATAGGCACAGCCCTAAGAAAAAGTGACCATGGTGAGGAGCAGAAGGAAGGCCATTATGGCTGAAAACATCACAAGGACTAGGGAACAGGGATGCAGAGTAACACATAACATAGGTATGGGCCAGAACTCAGAAGGCCTTGTAGGCCAAGAAAAGGAATTTGGATGTTATATGTGTGCTGTGGGAAACCCTGGAGAGATTAAAGCCAGGAAATTAAATGATCTGATTTCATTTTACAAAGCCTTCTTCTGCTGTAGTATGATGAAGGGATTAGGGGAGGCCAGAAGGGAAGTGAGGGAAATGGATATTACAGGAGTTCAGGGGGAAAAAAAAAATAGTTTTTTGGGGAAGGGTGAGGACAAGTGAGAAAGAAATTGAAGTGCCATCCTGAAAGTGTAAATTGGACTTTTTAAAGTGAACTCTACATGTGTATTGCCAGTGTATAAAGAATGTTAGACATTCAGAGCTTTAGGAAAAATCCTGCTCCTCAATCTAGGCCAGAATTAGAGATGATTTCAGGCTCATAAGATAATGACTTTACTTTTCCCTGGGGAGAGACTTTCCTTCATTGTTCTCTTTTCTGACTGAATCTCTCCTGTTGTTAGAACTCAAGATAATATTGAAAGAAAAATGTGGCAATGTCACAAAATAACTAATAGAGATTAAGATAGTTTATGATGAGGAAAATATGTAGAAATTCTGTTTGGTATTTCAGAACATCAAATAACACAACAAAATCTTCCAGAGATATATGTGGGATCATTACTAGCCTCTGCTAAATTTTTATATTCTGCAGGAAACCAAACTCTGAGTTCAGAAAATCTTTCTCTACTTTACTGTCTTTCCTTAACATCTTCCATCATTCCCAGAAGTGATTTAGATCTCATATTAAGGTGAATCTGTCATTTGCATGGCAAAGATGCAAAGATCAGTAGCATTTGTCTTGCATGCACAGATTCATATATTCTTTTACTATATAATTTCTATGAAAGGCATTCTCCCAGGCATTTGGCAAAAAAAAAAAAAAAAGTATTGCATGAACCCTTTTTAATTTTCTATATTAGGTAAATCTATAGGACCATGACCCTGTCTAATCACTAACCCCATACCCTGTTTGTTCTCTTTCACAAACCAGCACAGTGTGGCACTGGCTAAAAAACATTTCTAATCACAAACTTATCTGCATCTAGTGACCTAGTGGCAAGATATTTGAGGTCTGTTTGGGGATTGACCACATCCTGTGGTTACATGTTATTTTTTTTGAAGACTCTTTAAATGTCTTAACTGCTTTCATTTGATGTTTCCACTGACTTATTTGTAGAAATAGCTAAGCACTTATGCTTTGAAAATTTCAGCTGATGTCTTTTTATGTATTGCATGGATATTTGCTTATACCTGTTGATGTTCTAATACATTGTATATTTTCTAGTTTTTTTTTAAGGCTCTATACATAGGCTCTAATATATCAACACTTGGTAAATACTTGCTAAAAGAATAAATGTGCAAATGACTGGAAGGGCAGGAGTTTAAAATTGCCCCTTTAAAGGAAAATTTTAATAGTAAAATTTATTCAGAGTTCCCCTACCCTGTTTTAACTGATTTCATATTTGCACCTTCTCCTTCACAGTAATGTTTATTGAGCTACTAATTTGTCTCAGGCGTTGTGATAGGTTCATGTGTTAAGTATAGAGGATACAACAAAAAATTAAGGCATGGTTCTTGCTATTTTTGATTTTGAAATATAGTTGGGGATTTAGGTGTATAGCAGATGGTCTCAGTGTCATATGGAATTTAAATCAAGTAAGCACAGTGTGTTTTAAGTGGGTTTTAGAGAAGGCTTCCTGGAGAAGTCTAGGGCCTCTCTCTTGAAGAAAGTATAAGCTCAAGGAAAACAAAATCAGGGCTATCAAGGCTATGTAGGCATTATTAGCTGTAAATAATATTAAAATACATGGAAACATAATGCATATAGCTAAAGCCCAAGGCAATTGGTATGGAGTCAAAAAGTGAGAGCTCTGCAAGTGAGAGCCAGGTCATGGAGGTCTGTGTATGTCTTGGTAAGGATGTGGAACTATATGCTCCAGGCCAGTGAACCTTAGCTTTTTGGGAAAAGGTCACTGATGCCTGGACACTGCACTTGAAGCCCTTATATAAGATGAACCTAGTGAGAAGCCTTGATATAGGGAATGGGTAGCCATGGAAGAAGTTTTAGCAGGGAAGTCACATGGTCAGATTTGCTTTTTAGATAGATCATGCTGTTTGAAATGTGAAGGGAGATAAAACTGGAAGGAGGGTGATCAATGTATTTCTCCAGTTGAGAGATTATATGGCCATGACAGCA